TTTAAGGAGGTGAAAGTGTTTCATGAAAGCTGGAATGGAAATGAGGTCGAGGAGTCGGTCGGCGCTTTGTGGCACGTACTAGCGTTATGTTCCGTCATGGTAGCCTTTGCTAGCGTTATTTTGATTTGGGAATTGATATGCAAAAGGATTTGCAAGAGTTAGAAAAGAAAAAAAAAAATTAAGTCAAATACAATTAGGTGATACTCGTTTAATAGAAATCGGGTCGTAAGTTAGGGACTATTTATGTACATATGTATGGACTAGTTTGTACTGTTACAATATGTGCATTGATAATTTAATCCTTAATATTGGATAGTAAAAATCTCTGTACGACGGAGAAATACAAACTTGGCGTCTTTAAGCATTGCTTTGAGCTCTGAGTGGGAAATTTTGCGTCCCCCAGAGATTTTTACTCTATAATGTTTAGGTTACTCACCTTCCGCTTGCGGATGCTTTTACGACACCGAGTTATTGGAGCTTTGAACCAGACCTTACTTTACATTTGAATTATATCTTCTTTTCACGCTTCTCTATATTTATATGAGGAAACTAAGAAAGTATCATATAAAGTTAGAAAACTTTGAATTCATAATTGGACGAATAATTAATTTAAAGACTTAAGTCCGGATATGCAAACAACTTTGTCGCTTTCATTGTAGTCCCAGGTTTGGCGGAAATAAATACTTGCATCAAAAGAAGATAAAACGCGTCCCAACGTCGACAAATTTCACATTTTTTAAATTTACTTCGAGATCGTTTGAAAACAAAGGTAAATACACAAATGTCTCCACTCGTATAATAATGGTAATAAATCATTACCGACCGGAGTACATATGTATGTTATACTACCGGCACTAGTATTGACGGGAATTACAGTTCAGTAAGGTTGTAGTAATGAAAAATTTACCACAAAGACACAATTTACTACCAATCCGGTAAGAAATTATTATCAAATTAATACCAGCACGGAGTATCTAAATATGTGACACTACCAGATGTTTAACAGTGTACATCAGTAACTTACGATAAATTGATAACCTTACATCATTCTGATGTTTCGAATTTGTTACAAAATAATTTGCTTTTACTCCAAATAATTTAACGGATACATTAGTTTTTTCGTATTTTTTCTTAACCTTGTGTATCCCAATGTACTTGGCATTTCCAACCCTAAACAAAGTGCGCAACCCACAACGCAAATCCCACATATATAAAACCCTGTAACAATCTTCGAGTTGCGGCTCAATTGTGAGACAACATCAAATTTCGGACTCGTCCAATTAGCAAAGTTATGAAATAACCGGGGTGGTTTTACCAGTCTAAAATAATTTTCCCAGTGGGAATAAATTCCCGAAGATATTATAATCTTGAGACGCTTTGCAACATAGTTGTGCCGCACAGGTGTTATTAGCCAACCAGGTGTCACCACAAAAAGGGGATCCTCACCAGTCAAAAATTTTACACCGTCCGGATTATCGTTGAAAAATGGGAGCAGCAAATTAATATTTTCCTTCGTATCTAGAAACGCTTGTTTCCCACATTTCGACAATGTCTTCACGATTCGATCCGTTTCATCGTAACCAATCGGTTTTATCGGAGATATTGGCAATATTTGATTGTAGAACAGCTCTTCTTGCTCATGATAAGCTATTTTACGGCTAATGCGAGGAATTAGCCTGACAATAAATTGAGCCAATTTCCGGGTTTGCTTAAATACTTTGGACTTCCCTGGATCCCTGGTTAAACCGTAAGCCCTATGTCGTAGTCGGGTGAAGAATGTGAGATAGCGAAACCCTCCCAAAACTTTAGAATTATCCACTCGGGTATCAGCTAATAATTCGAAAGGCAGATATGCCTGCATTCCATCAATGTCTAGAAAGCTTGTCCATGGAGGAGGATAAGTTGCTGGGACAATCATTTCAATCGTGAAGAAAGCTTTGTACCAATTTGTTAATACTGTTCCTATTAAGATAGTCCAAACCCCGAGGAGAAAGTGTACCCTCAAGGATAGATAGTTCATGGGAAGTGTACGTTTATATGATTCTAACCGATCCAATACTGAACTCTCGAGACAGACCCCGATAAGTATTAACGCTCCTTCAAAACCAATTTTACTCCGCGATACATTGACAAGTAGTAAGATAATTGAGAGACTAAAGGTTAGATAAATCCAACTATGCGTGGTCAATGGACTGGTTAGGGCATGTAGTATATTGCCCGTGACAGGTTTCACTTTATAACAAGATATGAAACTAAAGGTTTCACTTCGGTGAGGAATAAATTCGTGTTGGCTGTCATATACGATGGGTTTCTCGAGAACAGGGATTTCATAGCATGCCGTAATGTTTGAATGTTTATCCCAAACCTCTTGTAACAACCAAAATGCGACAAATTCATTGAGTACGGTTAACGCGATGAGCTGTTTATACATTTTGCGTAAGTTCACTTTGTACGTCAATTTTTTCGCAATTGTGCGAACATTTTCATTCTTAACTACAGCTGGTATCCGCCAATAATATTCATTTAGACTTGCAGTTCTTTGACTAATCATTTGAATCTGTCTGAAACAATCCTGTCCTCCTTTAGATATTAGACATTTTGCGGAGTACCAGGATTTAGAGGGCTCGCCATCCATCATTTTTAAGTCGGGGTGATGATTAACGTTGTAATAGTGCAATTGTAGAATTTTTGGGCAAACTTGACGTGCCATCTCGTCTTTGTGTAGGGACACTTCTATGATTATTATTTCCCGCCGTCCGTACTTATGGGTGACAGGCTTTCTCAATTTGAGATAGTCTTGAATCCCTGATTTTGTAGTGGACAAGAAAATCAAGTATTGGGAACTCATGGTTACCCGGATGAAGAGATGATTCCCGTTGAAAACTAGGTAATTCCCAAGTTGATCATTCCCTGTGAGTAGGACAAATGAGGCCCAACAATGCCTCGAAGGGTTTAGCCTTCTTTGCAAACCAAACCTATGTTCAATATATTTGTAAGTTCGACAGGTTTTGTTGAGTAGGAGGATTGGATTATTATCGATTTCTAGGCTTTGAATTTTCAAGTTTCTCGGAATAATTGCCATGCTTGTACAGTTCTCAAAAGGGAGAAAATAATCGTTGAGTTGGAGTTGGACAGGGTCTTGGATCCTATCAGAGGAGCCAATTTTAACAGCGGTCAATAATTGGCAGAACTGGACACAACTAACGAAGAATAGGAAACTATGGAGGCTGTTGAATTGGTAAGCCATTTTCCGACCCGATTTAAGTCTGGAAACGTTTTAATCAAAATTTACAATATCCAGCGAAATATGATTGAGGGTGGAACTTCATTCGACTTGTGTGCTAAAGCAATGCTTACGCAAAAGTAAATCTATAAGGAACGAAACCATAATTGTGTCTAATTAACCAATTAGCCTCAATTTTTTCCGTCTACAACATACCAAACTTGTAGATAAACCTAAAAACTGATATTTACATACTTTGTATGGTGAAGCATACATGATTTCATGACCAAATGTAATTTTAAAATGTAAAGGTAAACGCCAACTGAGTCTTCCTGTCAAGCTGTTTATCCACAATTCGTGATTCACAAAAGTTTACTTTTCTTAAATTCCACCTTGAATTTGGATCGCAATAATATATGTACGGATAAATCTGCGGATATCCTGTCACCTACTTATTTACATAGTTAGTTACGTACCTATTATAGTGAAGGGCTCTCATTATCTTAAACAGGGAGCTAACGACGGTATTTATGTATTTATGTGCCATGTGTCGTCCTAGTGCGTGTTTAAATAATGTTTAGAAGACACGTGTTTAGACATTTCATGGTTAAACCTTTGTATGAGAAATTACACACATATATCAGTATGGTACATACATAGTTGTTTAAATTTCTAGCTACAATAGAAAATTGTTTAATATGAAAAGCTCCTAAATTTCCACTATTTACTAGATTTGGGATTGACATTTTTTTATATTAATACAAAACTGATGGAGTACTGATGACAAAATCTGAAAATACTAAATTTCATGGACAGAATTTTGGTAACTAATAGAAATGTACTAATTTTTCCCATTTAAAAATTTTCAATTTTAGTGTGACATTTAACCACCCTATAGGTATTTGTGTAGGCGTAGGCGTCTACTATCTGTCTACGGCAAGTTGAACCCGGAGATATGGGAGACTAAACTCAGTTCAACGTTAATAGGCATGGGCCGGGATTTAGTCTTCCATATCTCCGGGTTCAACTTGCCGTGGACAGACTATACATATAAGTACATAGTACAACATGTTAATAATACATGGAAATTTATTAATTAGATTGCCGGGAAGTTGTAGTGCGAAATTTTGAGGAACATTTACATACATTATTGGTCAATATCTCGAATAATATCGGGAATGTGTCCATCCCGCCAAGGATAAGTTGCAAAAGATGGCCACATTCGGACAACTTTGTTGTTCATTTAATTTAATTGCTATAATTTTTGAAGTGTCGTATTTCTGACGTATGTATCTCTGTGTAAAACAAAACTGAATTACATATTAACTGTCATCTACATATTTCCGGGTTGTAATAACAATAACTTTGACTGCTGTAACATAAATTATTTGCATCTGTGAAGTAAATAAATTTGATAATGATGTTATACGATAAAATTAGCTGAATTAAAATTTCAAGTTTAACCTATTCCGCAAAACTTGATGCGACATCGTTTACGAATTTAAATTTCGCTTACGACATTGGCATGTTAAAATGCAGTAAAATTGGAACTTGCCTACAGCTTACATATATCCATATGTGTTTCGCAATTAATTAAATAAACGTATGTATAAAACCAGGAATGAACACATTTTGGTTAATGGCCAGCTAAAATTTAATATTTTTAAATGCAGCTCTCACTGATACATATTTAGCTGAATACAGAGTAATAAAATTTTAACTGGAAATGTCAGCGGCATATAAAGCCAAATGTTCGACTGCAGAACGATATTCGTACTTTAGCTCCAGCTATCATACACAATTTTTAATTATTCAATTTTTCCCAATTTTCGTCATGACTCCTTTAATTTTGATAATCTGGATATTCTTTGCTATTTCAGCCAATGGAAATTCAAACTTCTTCCCGGGATGTGACACCAGGTGCAAGCGGGAACTACAGAAAAGTTGCATAAATCATGACCAAGGTCCAATCGACTATTGGGGGTAAGTTTCCTTCAGTATCATTCTTAAATAAAGGCTCAGCCACACTCTAAATTTTTTAATTTTAATTTTGATTTCCGCTTTAAATAATAAAAAACGAAACGTCTCCATTTTCCAGAACCTTCTTTTAAAATTCTAAAATAAACTATTATCTGATATGTATTTAGATACCGTTCAATCTGCTTAACATTTGATGCCGACAATTTCACTGGAATGGGATGCTTATCCAGCACGCCTGCCATTCGGTTGACCAATTTGACCGTTACAGACGGAACCCTGAATGAGCTGACTGTTGAAGTAGACGAGCCCGGATCTCACATTTACACCTCCAACTTTTTTGACTCCGATGGTACCGAATATATTTACCTTAGGGTCACCACCTATGGAAGTAATGAGCATGATTGTCTCATAAAACCCGGACGTTGCGTATCCTTCGACTGCTACATGTGTTCCGCTACAGCCTGGCAGAATTACACAACCGTAACGTATACAAATGATTACTGTTAATAGTCAGTTATAGTAATTTATAACTTACTACGCAATGATAATTTACATATGTAATTATGAGTAGTGATTGATGATTTGGCGAGTATATCTAAAAGAATCAATAAATTTTAACATGACAAAAATTAATTTTGATTTTAAACTCAAACTATTTAACAAGTTGTGCAACTGTAATGGAACATGTATGAACACAATTATTTAAATAGATATGCTAATTTCAAGACTATTGTGTCTTCGTTATGGATTAATGGGATGCCTAACGCCTTGACTATGGGAGGACGATCATTGGAATTTAAGTCATATGAGTAGGAAATTAGATTTTATTATTTGTTTATTAAATCAAATTATATAATTAAAATGCATTGATTAACATAAAACTAAATCATATTGAAAAAAAGTATTCAAACTTGGGATGTTGTTTAAAGTTTTAAAAATTTAGAAATTTAGATTTAGAAGTTTTAGAAATTGTTAATTAAGAATATTAATATTGGACAACTCAAATTGAATCAACATTAATTATGTATATGCGATTTTATAGTATTAAAAATTAGAACGGAACAAAATTTAGCCAAGTCTCTAATTGTACATAGCCGGGTCTGTAAGACTCGGTTTTGGATTTTAGGCCCAGCCATAAATTGAGTATTTACGGTAGTTTAACTTCCACTGTAATTGAATTCGTGCTTCTCCATAGTATGAATTGTTGCACAGTGACGCACCAAGTTCCAAAAAGTGCTAAGTTTCTTGCCACAAAAATAGCATTCATGCCCCCTCCCAGCAACTTCGTGTCGTTTCACGTGATGCCTTATTGAGTCCTTGGAATAGGTTTTAAACTCGCATTTCTTACAGGAAATGAGACTCTCCTCACTCGTGGGGTGGCTCGAATGCATATGTCGTTTCAAATGATACGCTGTCAAATATCGTTTCCTACAAATTTCGCACTGGTTACTCCACCCATTTTCATGAACAGCAATGACGTGCTGTTTCCTCGACTCCTTCCAAAGGAAAGTCTGAGGACAGAGATGACACGGAAAGACGGCACGCTTATCCTTATCCTTATGGATATCTTGCGAAACGAACACATATTAAATATAAATTGATGTACCCTTCATAAAAAATATTTATTCATTCAAAGTCCATTCATTCAAAGCCTTGAAGAAAACATTCATTACTTATTCACTCATTCTTAATTTGTGAACAATATATTCATTAATTCTTCAACATTTATTCATTATTCAGCATTAGCCATTTTATTCAAATTTCACTGTATGTATAAGATGAATTTCTCGACTTTCCCTACGGATTAAGTCTTGAGTAAAAAATGAATGACGAAAAAAATATTCATTCACAGGAATTGAATAGATATTAATTCAACATTTATTTAGCCAAAAATCAGAATCAAATATTCATTCAATATTCATTCAATTTTTGAATATGGAATAAAAATATATTCATTCATCACTAGATGAATGAATGTGAACATGTATGCCGAAATAAATTCCTAGCTTTACCTGGTGCTGTTGCAGTTGCCACTTTGTAACAAAGGATTTTTCACATGTTCCGCACTTGAGAGTTTTTTCCTTCGTGTGGCTTGAAATATGGCTCTCAAGATGGACTTTCTGTTTGAATTCTTTTTTGCACAGGGTACAAGAAAATCTGACAGGATCGTCAGCATGCTCTCTTCTCAAGTGCCTATCAACATCTTGTTGATTCAGATAGGTTTTGTGACATCCAGGAAATGTGCAGGGCATGCGCGCTCTGGTGGCAACACTATGGACTCTACGGACATGTTCTGATAAGCTGCGACGGTTCACAAATGTTCGCTCGCAAATGTTGCAAGATGGTCTGGCACGGTCAGTGTGGGTCTGTACCATGTGGGTCCGAAGGGAGTCACGATTTTTGTAGGATTTTTGGCATACCTATAAAAAATCGGTCCGCGATAAGCATTTGAATATCTCAATACCTGTTCAAACAAACTTTTTACATTCAAACTTCATTCTTCTCGATTTCTGACTTTTCATTTTCATTTTAAGATTTTCATTCACACTCAGTCATTTTCTTTCCAACTCATTTAATTTCACTTCATCTGACTTCATTTCTTACTTCGCCCAATGTATTTATTAAGGATAGGGTGAAAAATAAAATTAGCGAGAAATCTTTCATTCACAGCCACGCTTCTGAAATGTCTAAATATTTCACTCATTTTCAGTCATATCACAGAAAATTCATTTCCATTCACTATCATAATCAGTCAAATGAATGAAAGTGAACAGGTATGAATATCTTTGCGCTTTATAAAAACGTTGGCTGTATTATGTATTCTCTATGAATTTTAAATTCTTTTAGGCTCATTGTTGTCAATAAAAGTATGTTGCTATGCACTTACCTCGCATTTAACTTTAGGGGCATCAACATCGTGAGTAACAAGGTGTCTGGAAAAGTAGTATTTGTCCTTGATTATTTTGAGGCAGACGTAGCATTCAAAACCTTCGCCTTTCTTAACTGGATTCATTGTTCCAACGACGGAAGTAGTTGAAAGTTTACTCTTTGATAAGTATTTCTTAAATACTTTATTTGAACAAAATTTGATAAATGTTAATACCCTACGTTTTTTTTGCTGGGGTGAATGCAAAACATTTGCAATAAACGCCAAAATCCTTAATTTTTACAGCAACAATATTGGAAATGTATGGATATATGTACAACCTCTCGTCCGTTAGAGCGCGACTAAATGGTCAGTGATATCTGAATGCCTATTTATATTATTTCTCCCTTAGTTTTGTGTACAGATGTAGGTGAGACCCATGCGACAAATATAGAGACAAATTTACAAATCCTCTTCGCCTACATTCCTCAGGATTCTTAATGTTGGGCTACATTTGCCTCAAACTGGAGCAGATTTTGTCTAGGTTTACCTGTGGGACGGTCCATAAATTATGTCACGCGAGAAGAGGGAGGGGGGGTCTTAGGCTCCAATCCAATGATATCGTGCTTATGTGACACATCTTAAAGGAGCGTCTACGAAATCGCGATTTTTGATTGACATAATTTATGGATGGCCACTATACCGGACAGGTTTGATCGTACCTTTTTTGGAGATAGTGGAGCAGTATGGCCCTGAGCTCGAGGGTATTCAGATTCGTAAACCTGTACTGGCCTCATGTTAGTCATGAGGAGAGAGGCCTCATGTTAGTCATGAGGAGAGAGGCATCTTCATCTTTCTGTGCTCCGCATAGATTAAGAATAACAAGATTCTCTACGTTATTCCTTTGTTAACAATGGTAATATAATTCATAGAAAGCTAAAATTTGGTATTGAGGGTCCTGCTGATTTCTAATGGAGAAATATAAAGTGAAGTTGCCAAAGTTTTCATCTTGAGGGCCCTTAGGTAACAGGACTGAAATTTGTTACATAATTGCTAAGGTTCGTTCAAAATTAATATGCAGTAAAGTTCTCAAAATTTATTAAAAGGTGAAATGGTGCAAATTTCTAATTGTCGGTGACAATGATTTAATAATTATTAAGCATAATTATTAAGTAGCTTAAGCTACTTCATGCGAAGATTTTGTCTCTCTGTCCGTCCTTCTGCCAGCAGGATAAAAAGAGACCCCATCGAGATTATCGAGATTGGCTTGCGGCATCATGTGTGTACCCCTTATGGGAGGATCCTTTCAAGTTCTGGGGGTCAATCGGACTATCCCCATGAGGTGTTGTTTGGGTAAAATGGTATTTTTGCTGAAATTGGTTCAGCTGAGAGAAAATCGTTCGCTTTTGCGAACTTGCGGCGGCCATAACTTACTGATTTTTACGCATCTGCGCAAATGCGCCACCAAATGTTGTTTCTGGGCTGAAAATCGTTTACGCCGCCATTGATTTTCAGTATGATAATGATTATGATTTGCAGTATGATTATGATAACCCTAATCCTACTGAAAATGATACTGAATGTCATGGTTAGAATTATCTATACTGAAAATCAGAATCATAATCGTGCTGAAAACATACTGAAAATCACACCGGAAATCATACTGAAATTCATAATCATTATGATTTTGCCTATGATTTTCAATATCATTTTGAGTCATTTTGAGTGACGAGTCACTCCAAGTCAAAACCTTCGATTGGAAGAGAGTCATGAGAGCGGCGATGTTATCTCTCCACTCCGAGCGACTACTGACGGTGGTGCTCAACAGCTGTGGGCGTATCACGGGCTGTCGTGCTGTATGTCGACACGGCCATAGCTAATTTTTACAAGCTATATTTTTTGAAGTCAGTGTTAAGAATAAGTCTTGATTCATGCGACACATGAATTTCGTTATTAAAATTTTGTTTACGCCCCTTGTTTTTCGATAATTATGGGAATATTCCCACCCGTAAGCTAACATGTGTCAGTAAAATCACAATAACTTCTTGCCCCCACTCATGTTTCGCGCAAAATTTTGTTGTTGTTAACTATGTCGATATTAGATCATAATTTCAAAAATTTGAGAAAAACATGAGTGGGGGCAGGAAGTTACAGAGCTCCAAAATTGTAATTCAAAATTTTGAAAATTGGAAATTTTCAACTTTTGACAATTTTATCAAGTAGACTACGGCAAATAAAATAAAGTTTAAGTAGGAGTAAACTGTGTCAAAAATCTGTAGCACTTGATATTTCAAATGTAACACGTTTTTAAAATTTCGAAAATAAAAAACAGCTCGGTCAACATTTGAAATAAAATTTTAATTTTTTTGACATTAATTTCTTCTACATATTGGCGATTATTGGTAACGTCGGGGACAAAATCTGAGGCATATGCCGCAATTGGAAATAGGCCTTCAAGAAAACTGAGTCTGACGTGATAATATTACAATGTAAGAATACTCAACCTATACGGATTATTTGACCTGTCCATTTTAACGAATTTTAATTTAAAATGTTCCAATTAAAGTTTTTCCAATGCAGGAACTTGTAGATTAATTGTTGAATATATGTACATATCTGTAAAATTATCGCATACCCACGACTTGCTGCATATAAATAATCGAATGACGCAACGATTAAAACGTTGTGGAAGCATTTTCGTAGATGCGAACGTGTCAAATTTATTTATTCATGGTTTTATCTTATGATAAGATTCTTATCGCTGCAAATTTTACCAGGTCTTTGCATACCTAAATACGTGCATGGCATCAAATGCCGAACATCTACATCCCAACTGATTACAATATTTACAAGGCATTTTGATAAATGGGATAATCAAGCCTTTTGTTTAAAGCGTGGGAACGAATTAATTACAGATATGACTCGATACTTATTGCTTCATATTTAAATATCAAACGTTTTCGGTATACATACAGTATATCCATAGATTCGGTTACGTATACATACATTTTCGCATCAAAATTTTGCAATGAACAACCTTTTTGAAAATTTTGTAGCCACGCCTGTCGCAAATCTATACGATAACTATAATAATAATGGTCACCACTGGTATCATCTTATGTGCTCAGTGGAAAATTTTGAAATTCTATGTGGTGTCGAAAATAACTGGTTACAGCAAAACCTTACATTTCACACAATTTGTAAATGTCAGACAAATTGGTGAAAACGCTTATGAGCACGAACACATTCATGCACTAGTGGAACTATCTGAGAAAAAAGAAAAATTCAAGAGACTTTTTAAATTGCAAACAGGTGGAGTGACAATGACAAGGCCACAGTTCAAAGATATAAGGTAAATTTGAAATATTTATAAGCTTAAGGTATAAATGTACGTTAAACATGATCCGGAAATAAGCAATCTTAGATGGCTGGTAGGTACATATTTTTAACGATACACATAATAAATTAGTAACTCCACCGTACTCTCTTAGAAATGGGGTTACGATTATAACCAAAAAGTAAACGTACGTGACTCTACCGCCGTGCTTATGAATTTGTTACAATTGTCACTGACCAATTATAAATTTTCACCGGCTTGGTATTAAATTGTCACCAGACCTAATAAATGTATAACCAGTTGGTGACAAACTCATAACCACGGCGGTAGAGTCATAAATATACGTCTACTTTTTGGTTATAATTGTAACCCCTTTTCTAAGAGTGTATTGCCAATAAGTTTGTATGTAAGCTTCCCGATTAAATCACTTGTCACCAGATTATTTTAATTGTACATAAATTTGATGTTTTCATTCATTATTATGTATCCAACAGGTGTGCGAAGCATTTACTTAACACCATTCTGTATTTGTGTTGCATCCATGGACAGAGCAACTATTGCTCCGTGAGTCATCAACATTACGCGCACAGAGTTGCAGACAAAAACTGGATACATGACGGCGACCGGAGGGCTCTAGTGGAGCAGTTGGTCCGTCAACAAATTGGGGATAGGTTTCATCATCCTAATGATTGTAATTGTGGAAATGCAATGAGGAGGATGTAGAAGTTGCAGGCATGCACTCTTACTACTTGATATTGACTCGTCATCGCTGGCCATGTGGATGAGTTTATTGTGATAAGGTCTTATCTATTGGCGGCGTTACATAAGAGATAATTTTATGATGCGGATTTATTTAATGTATTTATAATTCCAACTTACCAGATTCACGTATGTACACCCTAAGAAACTCGGTAACTAAGTTATTACCAGGCGGAGTAACTATGTGACTCTACCGCATGGTAATTTATTTATTACTGAGTGGTTGACATTTTGTTACCAAACCGGTAATAACCCCTGTCGCGAAATTTGAAAATATTACCAGTTGGTAACAAAATGTCTACCACTCAATAATAAATTAATTACCATGCGGTAGAGTCACATAGATACTCCGCCTGGTAATAACTTAGTTACCGGGTTTCTTAGAGTGTATACGTCTGCATAAAATAACATGCATAATAACTTTTAACCAAACTGAGTAGTATTGCAAAAAAACACCAAAATCTCGCCGCACTTTCTGCTCATTAATTATGCAGAGACAATATGCATGAGAATGTCAAATTATTGTTACCGTTCTTGCGACAATAGATTAATTAATTATTAAACTAGAATTATTATTTTAAATTAATATTCAAATTACTTTAATTATATTTCAAGTAAATCTGTATGATTGTAAAGGCCGCGGCCACATCAATCGAACTTAATAAATACCTACTATGCTTATGTTATGGAACCTTGTAATCATTCCAAACAGGATGGATAATATTAACTGAAACCAAAAGTTTATAATTGGATTACACGGAGTTAAGCGGACCAAATCGCAAAAAAAGTTTGCCTTATTTTGTCAATATTTCGAATGCTATCTGCCATTCATTATTAAGAAATTTATAAGAAAATGAGAAATTTAATTATTCGTGGAAATTAGTTTGTGTAAATTGAATTTACAAACTAATTTTATGAATTTATTTCATAACATAATTTATTTCATAACATTAGCTCAACTATATGTTTAGAGCTTTAAGCTTTTAGCTTTTTGCTCTAAACAACGCAATTCCTCAGCAAGATTTTTTCCAGGGGGTTAAATATCTCATTTTACACTGTTCGTACAGTGGCAGCAGAGATTGGAGGGACATGTGGGGAGATTAGCATTGTGAGATAAGAAAAAGAGGGGCTTATTAACTTAGGCAAGATAAAATTTTTCCGCATTTCTGGGGGGACAATTTCCCCCTGTCCCACTACTTCCGGCACCACTGCATTTGCATGTAAATTAATTAAATATCAAGGGGGAAAAGTGGATCGAGTTTTACGAGCAATTACGCTCTTAAAAACCCGGTGTTAATCATCACCGCCCGGTTACACATTTTTTCCTCTCCGCATTACAGTGAACCTTTCCCGCATGGTGACAATTTTTGCATAACCATAAGGTGAGAAACATAATCACAGTGCGGTGAAGCCCAATATGCGCACCATCCGGCGATAATCATGTAACGCCGGATTTTTAAGAGTGGCAACCAAGCTCGAACTTCAGTAGGTGCTAGATACATAAATGTCGGGGCATTAAAATTAGACCAAATTCTTAAAGAGACTCTAACGAGATAAGAATGTTTTACATTTTCAATGCCTCGACCACAACGGATTATGACAAATGATGCGTAGTCCACGACTACAATTTATCCATATTCCAATCTAATGAGCGTTTTTTCCAGATTTTATGATGCACATTCAGCTTATTAATTGCTACTGGAACAGGTGAAAGTTGGATTTTCGCTGTCACGCAAGTCGTAGGATTTCTCCTCTTTTGGGGCTTTGTTTATTGTCTCTTCTCATTAAGCGTATTAAAACAAATGACCAAGTTTATGGCGTCATAAACAAGAGAAGGGAACGTCCACATTTTACGTTATCAAAGAAACTCAGATTGTTAAAATATCTATCCACCCCTTCCCCATTTTAGTCATGCTAAGCCCAAAACACTTAAAATAGGCGACTTAAGACCAACCACCCAGCATTTTGATGACGCAACATATGGACGTTCCTTAACAAGCTTTTTCCTTCGTTATTCTCTTCGCTGGCAATTCAACTTTATTTTTGGCAGTTTTAACGAATTCAGTCCAGCTTTCACGGTAGGAAAGCTGGACTCGAATGAAGAAACTTGGTAAAATTCATTTTTATGCAAAATTTGTATATATTGAACTTTGTGAAATTTATCTTTGTATTAATAATTTTTGGTACAGAAGTCATGATGCATACGTTTCTGAAAGTCGACCGGTACCCAAGGTAGCTAATAGAAAGCATTATGAATGTAAGTGTAACTCTAATTTTGTTAAAGGTAAATTTCAATATATGCGGACAGTCTCTTATTTTAGAAATCAGACCAAATCATTGTCGAATATAAAAGCTCTCATTTTCTTATTCTTGTCTCCCAGCTGGGTTACCTGGATCAAGATAATAACATCGCCAAAGCGGGCTGCTTAGGCTTGATGATCTTTTAGAAAGCAAAATCCATTTTTTGTGGCCTCAGTATTTGATTGAGGATGCAGAAGAATGCACTCACCCCTCTCATTTCAACTGTATTTTTAAGGAATCTAACGAAGTCCAGCTTTCCCTGTAAGAAAACATGGACTAGAATGAAACAACCTGGTAATATTCATTGTCATGCAAATTTAAAATTTAGGTAAATATTTTAAATGAAACTCATCTTACCTCCCAGCGCATGCTCTCAGAAGTTTGACCAAACCTTTGTGAATTAATCACAAATTTAATTAGCAGGAAATTTGCAAAGATACGATCTCCAGGGTAGCAGAGATATTTGCATCCAAATAGGAGAACACTAGGAGGTACATTTGGAAATTGTACAACGTTGGCGAATTTTCGCATCTTTGGATGCAAATCTCCGGCCAAACTTGCCTACCGAATTTTTGCAAATTTCATTCTCATCAAATTTCTGATCGATCAATACTAATTTGGTCAAAATCTGACCGCATTTGCTGGATGATCTACATTTTTAATAATTAACAATTCCTGGGACACTAATTATCATCCGCTAATCATATTTTAACAACATTCTGTATATGTATGTAGGTATGTAGACCTGATGTCCTGATCCACCCAGACTAATCGAGATGAAGCAGGTTTAATTTTACATAAATTTTCTTGTCCAGGAAATTTGCTGATCCACGTAAAGGAGAAATACACACTGGGCGCCGAAACGACCCGTTTATCGCCAATCCAATCCGGGACGGTCGTCACGTTCAGGATTTTGATAGTCGCCCACGCTCGTAAGATAATCGGATTTCCCGTTACGTTCTGATCATTTTTAAGTCACCTTGTACGTTCCGTAACATTGTATGTTTGTGGAAAAGAACGCTCAAAATTCAATTAAAAACTGATATATGTATCAGTTTTATACTAGACATAATAATTCCCTGTAATTTGATTATATAGAAGTGATTAATCTGTATGTACATAACTAAAACGTTTTCACGAATTTGTATTTCATGAAGGCGCTACATGTACATACGTACGTAATAGTGGTCAAACGAAGCGGTTTAAAACTTACGGCATAGATAATCCAAACACAATTTATATCTGGTGTTGAGGGTCACGCCGAATTTTTCTTAATAGTGTCGTCGTTTTAAGCAAATATTTAATCTTACTGCGACGTTGTGTGTTTGTGAAATGATACGAAGAAAGTTGACAGTTTGATAAAAAAACTCAGACAAAACTGTAATTAAATTACATATATGTAATTCTTCTCAAACATCGTTACGAATTTGTACTTTGGGAAGCCCTCTGTATAAATATGACGATTAATTAATTAGATTAATTATTTATATTAGTACGCATTTATCTACCACATATGTATGTACTTTTCAGTACGACGAGTTTTACTACATAACAAAAAACCTATACTGGCAAAACGATATGCAATTGTTTGGGCAAGATTTAGGAATTTTATAACTCTTATTTAACCATATGATGAAATTTTCGTATTTAACTATATGATAAGAGTTTTTTTTAGCTAATCTGCTCGTGCATGTACTTATGTATGTATGTATCACATATTTATTCAGTACTAAATACTCAATATGATTTAACGGTTTTAAGTCAGTCCAGCTTTCACGGTAGGAATAGTTGGACTCGAATTGGTAAAATTTGTACATATGTAGGTATTAAAAAAAATGGATCGTAAAATGATTCATAAGTTCTAGTACAGAAATTATCATCCGTTCCTAGGAGTATGTAGCTCCGATGTCCCATTTTGGGCTGAGTAGTCAAATGCAATTATATTTTGATTAGTGGAAAATTTCAACATATTCTGCACATTAATTGATCAAACACTGAGGCCAAGTCCTTGTGATCCAAAGCGATTCGTGTGCTGCCGATCAGTGTAGTCATGTTCAATAGTTTGACGATCCTCCGTGACCGTTAACACTGCACACTGGGGTATATTATCAGATTCTGATTTATTAGACGATTTGATATATTTATTTACTACGGGGGTAATGCTACCATTTACATAAATATGGGAGCTTTCATAGATTAGTAATAAGTAGATTTCATAGATCTATTTAACACTGGAATTGTTATTGAGCCGCTCGTGAATACTATCGAGTTAAAACGGTTTAAAATTTGTAATCTCTCATAATGTAAATATGCATCTCCTTTTATGGATTGAATGTTTCATGTCGTACTTTCAAGTGATCTTGTACTTTCTACAACATTGTACGTTTGTGAAATGATACGGAGAAACTTGATAATGCCTACACTCAAAATGAGGTAGTAATGAATCATTACCATGCGGAATCACTATGTGTCTCTACCACGTCGGTTACGATTTGTCGTAGAAATGGTAATAATAAGTTCAGGGAAATTCAAATTTAATACATAATGGTATTCACTTCCTTAATATTTGGTAATGAATTTGAATTTCCCTGAACTTATTATTATCATTTCTACGACAAATCGTAACCGACGTGGTAGAGACACATAGTGATTCCGCATGGTAATAATTCATTAACCCCTCATTTTGAGTGTAACTTCAATTAAAAACTCATATTAATTTAACTTCAGTTTAAGTATATATCTGTTTATCTTACTGAAACGTTTTCACGAATTTGTATTTCGCGAAGGCGCTGCGTAACAATTAATAATGCGAAATTTATTTTACCTAATTAATACATATGTATGCATTTGTTCATAAATAAATCCGTTCGTATTGTCCAAATACGTTTAAGTATAAATAAAAGTTCGTTGAATGTATTACAAAAGATAATATTCGGTCTGAACTACATTGTACGTAGAGATGCATTTACATGTAGTGAATCACTGGCCGAAAGAGGGTTACAGATGACAAAATTATGTCGCACAACTTGCAATTTTTTGCAACAAGTGTTTATGTACATACTCGTATTTTTGGGGCCGATTCAAGCAGCCCTCTACTGTCCTTTACGGACATACGTGTTTTCATGATATTTTAAATGGTGCCCTCTCTTGAACCCCTTTCCGCACACGTGACACGCGAACTTCCTCACCCCTTGGTGCACACAGCTCTCATGCCTTTCGTCGCGAATTCGCGAGGGCAAAGGGTACACTTGAAGTCCTTGGGGCGCACGGTGTGGCGCCGTTCGGTGTGGAGGGCGAGGCCGTTGTGGGACAAGATTTTGGAGCAAATGGGGCACGTGACGGGGGACTTGTCGAGGGTGGCCTTTTTTGAAGGGTCGACTGGATACGGTGGGAGGGTTTAAAATGGGGCGTTTATTGGTAGAAGTGGCGGGTTTTGAGACCTTTTTGCCCCTGGAGTTGTTGGTTTTTGGGGGTGAAGGGTGTCTGGTTTTACGGGTGGTGGTGAGACGACGACGTTTTTCAGTGGGATTTCGGATGGAGTGCACTACCAGAGTTAGGGGTCCTGTTGCATAAAAATTTGAGGTGAGGACAGGTATGTACTTAGGGTTAGCGGGCCGTTCATAAATTATATAAGGCAAATATGTGTCACATAGACACGATATCATTGCAACCACCACCCCTTCCCTCTCTTGCATTACACATTTTATGAATGGCTTTAGAATTTTGGTTATTTACTCACCAGAAGTTAAGTCGTCCTCATCGTCGCCCTCCCCATAGTGAGGTTCGTAATGTAAATCAGACACGTACGAGCTAGGAATTTTTTCCTCGTCAGAATTATTAATATTTCTGGATGCGAGGACGTCGTCCTCCTCCGACTTTATGGCGAAAACCTCACTACTAAGCAGTAATTGGTATAATGCCGTGTCGTCATCCCCTGTCCATTCAGGATCATATTTTGCCCGAAATTTCTTCTCCACTTCGTCAAGCCCGGTGTTGATTGAATTCAGCCCGTTCGCCAGCATCAGGTGGAGGTCGCAGGATACGTTGTAATCTGTAAAGTTTTATCATATATTTTAAATTTCTGAATAAAAGTATGTAACTATGCGAGTTTTTGTATGCGAAATTTAGTAAACATATTTATGTACCTTCAAAATATTTGACACATTTTCTCGAAATTGATGCTAATTTCGACTCTGTACCGATAAGTACGTTTCGCATGGTGTCCAATTCGACGAGAAAGTTTTTTAACTCGTTTATCTTGATTTCCCTACTAGAAAGAGGCAAAGTTTTCCAATAACTAGTTTTACCAAAAAAGTTATCTCCAAATTCTGGTTACTCACTGCTCCGTTTCTTGTTTTATTTCAAAAGTTTGCTTCTTGGGTGTGATTTCCATTGCGAGACGTTTGAGAATATTTGCACGCGAGTAAATAATTTGCGTGAAAATGTGCTTGTTTTTTAAGTACTTTTGTGTAGATAAACTTTGAGGAGTAAGTTTGAGACTCTTTTTAACAAGTAGGCATTTATTTACACTCTCAATGGAATCACAATTAATTTTTAATATTTTTACAAATATTATTCTTCTCGCTCTGATGTCCAAGAACCGAATAAAATCCTCGTCCAACCTTTTTCTATACACATAACACAAACAAAGGATCCTTTCTCTTTAAACTGCACTGTTGCTGCTCTCCATCCGGTGTGGAAAAGGTCATCGAGCCAGAGCAATAAAACTAAAGAGGATACGGATCTGATGAATGATTCTTTCACAACTTCGCCATCTCAACCTTGCTCACAATATTTTATTTCATTCAGAGACAAACTTGAATATTGAAATTATCTATCTAGGGGACGTTAATAAAATGCTTAATTTAGCGTACGGGGTGGGTTAAGTTGCACCCGATTAGATCCGGCTACATTAGAAAAAAGTGTCTCAGCATGAAGAAGAATTTGGGGACAATTTGGGGATAACGCATGGTTACACGGTGGCAGTTGCACACGGTGGCAGTTGCACACGGTGGCAGTTGCACACGGTGGCAGTTGCACACGGTGGCAGTTGCACACGGTGGAGTGCTTAGCACGTTTGCAGTGCACATCATTAAAAATTCTAAAAACTACGAAAATAATATTCCCCTGAGTTTCTTGCTTCTAATCAGATACATAGCCTAAGGTTTTGGAAATGTAATGCAACTTAATAGAGAGGCTTATCAACGTTATCAACAACTTCCCAAACAGGTGGAGAGGATGGCAGGTCATTACAATTGTCGCTGGTTATAGACGGGGGTGTACTAGGGGTGTTACGTGTATGCGTTGATAAACGGGGGGTGGAACCATCCTCTTCTCCATCACTGAATACGGGAAAACGCACGGGAATTATTTCACCGGTGCGCTCATCACTAGCAGTGGTGTACGTATACCTCCTGTGTGGTGGTGAATCGAGGATTGACGGGGACGAGGACCGACGTGTACGTTTCGGCATCTACAAGTATAAGGAAGAGAAATGAAATTATTGTGACCTTAAGGACAACTACATATGTAGGGCTAAGAGCAAGCAGGAGTGGACGATTAAAGGAGGACCGCGTCAGAGTAGTTGATGGGACGAAATGAAGAGGGTCCTGACAAAGGGGGGTATCTTCGCATTTTGGTTCGAGATTGGTCGTGGAGGGTTTGGCCTCAAGTAGTGGGATACTTTGACCTTCTTGGGGCTGGACGGGGTACAGACGCCCTTGGCGGAATTGGTAGCCCAAGATGATGAGGATGACGACCAGGACAAGGATGAGGGTCAAATTAATCCATAATAAGGACATCATCACAGTTTCCAGGTCGCTTAACTCGTCTTGCAGGGATATACCTCGGACATACTGTCTTGGGGCGGAGGCGTACATGGTGAGGGGGCGGTTTTTGATAATCCCGAACATCAGATACATTACAGATAAAATAAGCACTGAATTTAAAACATTCCACAAAATCATAGAGAGGGGTGCGTAAATCTCCGTGGAAAATGACGTCAACTTGGGGGGTTTGAGTTGTTGTCGGAGGGCTTCTAAGGTCTCATTGAAATGATAAGAGGAGGAGGAAATGTCGGTCCAAGTTTCATTCAATATTCCCGTGAGGTTAGCGTACGTGGGGGTCTCGCTTTGTGTTTGAATAGTGACATAAGCGGAAGTGAGGATACTCCAAGCTGCAGGCACGACGTGGGTTAATTGGGCGTCTGATTGGGGATTGGAACAAGGAAAGGTGGATTGAATCAATTCGTGATCAGGAATTTCAACGCTGCATCCGCAGGGGAGCATAATTTGTAGGGATCCAAATTCTGGACGGGGTGGCTGGGTTTTGTTATTTCCACATTGGAGGTAAGAAGCACATTAGTCAAGATGAATAAGTTACGCTCCACTTGTGTTACATGAACACGTGTCGCGGGACGACACTCAAATTCGCAAGCCTGATTTAATTCCGTAATCGTTGACCGTTGGAATAATTGTTGTGAACATTTAGTTGCAGAGCATCATCCACACGGAATTGGGGAAGGGGACAGAGGGGAGCTTCTTGGTGGCATCGATGAAGATTAAGGCCAGTGAGAGGGACAATAGAATTGGCGGAGACGGTAACAATGGTAGGAGGAATTTTCATGCTGCACATAGTTTTATTCCACAGGAATGGCATGGGAGAAATTTCAAACAGAACAGAAGTTGATCTTTTGAGGAATGGAATAGAGATTTTGATAATGATTTGAGTATCTGTGAAGATGCATTGGGTTAAAGGGGTTGTAAAATAGTTATGGAAATCGTCCAATGGCGAGTTCTTACCCTTGATTTTGTAAGGTGTCCTGCACTTTAACGAGGTCGTCGTAAAAAGTATCGGACGGTACTAGAGAGGCTGGAATGAGTTTGGTTCTGCAGTTGTCCATGACCTTCAGATGATGGTCGGTGTCAATACTCCAGTGCAGATATTGTGCTAAATTTACGAGAAGGTTGGTTTTGGCTTTTTGTTGTACCAAACTCCGTAATTCGTGCTGGTGAATAATCTAATCATTTATTACTGTATCAATTTCATTTTTGATTCGATGGAAGGTGTCATTAACTTGCTGGGCCAAGGAATCTCTTTCGTTTTGCATAACCATGATGGTTTGTCGGTCGCTCGTAGTTGCATTCGTAATACGCGACATAAACTGCTGCACTTCTTCATCATTGGTGGTGATGGTTCCGAGATCTGTCTGTGACACAGTACCACAGCAGTAGGAGAGAGCATTTCCAATGGCAGAGCTGATGATGTTTCGCCTGACATGAGAGTTTTGGGTCTCGGTAATGGTGCAATTCTTACTTGGACACTGTTGATGGGGATGAAAAGTTGCAGATGTTATCTCTTCAGATGTGGACAGGGGCATTGACATGGATCGCATGGCCATCCATTGATCAGGATGTTCGTGGTGGGATATAAATATCTCTCTCAGGGTCATAGGCCACCGCTGTGTGTTTGGATGATAAAGTTAAGAATTGCTCATCTGAGGTTAATTTCATGTCTATGGCCTGTAATTGAGCCACTGCAAACTCAAAAACTCTGTAATGAGTCTTTCCGTATTAATAAGTCTTGTTCTTTGCACAGTATTAGGTTATGAGATCATCAAAATGATGGATTTGAGGGTGGTTAATATTAACTTGGTAGATAAGTGGAACCGTTCCCTCATATGGAATGAATTGGTCCAGAGGGTTAATGTATGCGCCGCTGATAATTTGTGTGGGAGGTGGATTTGATATGGAGAGGCCATTGACAGCCACAATCAATGGGATGAGGAGAATGACCTGCATTTTGCTAATGCTGTTGAGGAGAAGAAACGGAGTTATGTTTGGTGAGGTTGATTGAGTTGATTTGGATTTGTCGTCTGGTTGTTAAGCTTAAAAACTAAGATAGATGCTCCAGTTGACGTCGTGGATTCGGAAGGGCTGCACCAGAATTCGGTCACGGAGGCGTCTTTTTGTGATAAATTTTGTAGTAGCATTCGGAGTTGCTTTGGTGCGAGTGGGGGTTTTAATCCCGTGACAAATTGTCGTATTGTGGGTCTATTGTTAGGCATGCCCCCCTAAAGCAAGCACAATCATCAAGATGGGGCTAATATAAAATTGGGTCACGCATCTCAACGCTCTCTAATTAGTCGTGTTGTGGTAATTTAGTGGGGTGAACAATCAAGGAGTGTCGTGAAATGTTTTTATGGAAAGTGTTTTGGTTGTGCCAAGTGTGGTGTCGTGATTTTTATGAAGTAGGACTTTGCATCGCCCGTGACATAGCACGAGTAACGCGTCGGTTATCTGAAGAAGGGGCGTCATTGACAGGCACCACCAAAGGGGTCTGAAGTGGGGGCATATCAGACGGAACGTTATTACCGTCTGAGGCTTCAACTCAGGGTACATTTGGGTCTGGTGTAATAACAGCTTCAGTAGAATCATTGATTTTATCGCAAGCATCCTCATTTTCCTCGCCAAAAAATTGAATTTTTGCCAAAAAATGAAAACCCACCAAATTTTCCATAACTACTTCCGATTGAGAAATCCTAGGCATAATCTAAGTCCTAGTATTCCAAGCTATCAGAAAAACCTGATAATGTCATGAAATTTAAAAACTAGTGGAAGAAAATCAGCCTAGAAGTGGTGAAAGTTTCCTGGAAAAAGATGATGCAAAATTTCAAGAAGAAAATAGAGTCTGTGACAGATGGCGGACTTTAATCATTAAAAATTTAATTGTATTACAGACAGAACCCTTTGAGAATGAACATATGTAATTTTTTTGAAATCTCATTCACTGTGTGTAAAGTTATGAGCATTTTTCTTCTCCATTCCCAATCCTTAGTGGACGCTCTTTACTATAAAATTTAGCAAAGTTTTCATATTGCTATAAAATTTGTTTACGATGTACAAAATCTTTCTATAATGTTCGACGGTATAAACATAACATTCACAAAGGAAAGCAGCCGATGCACACAGAATTACGAATACACCCAAAATAAACAGTGTGAATAATGCACTATTCAGTCCAAACAATTTAGTTGTTCCATTTTGCATCTTTCGTTTCTCTCTTCTTACTCGATCCAAAACTTGTCTCGCCTCAATCTCGGCGTCAATTTTGGCGTAAATCCCGGCCTCAATTAACCCCTCGTAATAATGCGGAACTTTCGAAGACCCCTCCCTGGAAAACACTAATGCAACCAGTTTAGAATCTAGGACGTCCCTACCTTTGTAAAATTCCTTTGAAAAATAGTTCGCCCTCAGAAATTTGTACTGCACGCGAAAATTTTCGCCCCTCGTGACGAAAACGATTTTCTGGGAACAATCAACAATTTCCGTTTCGATTTTGTGATTTATTTCGTCGGGTAAATATTCGTTTCTCGAATAGTCGAGACCTTTAGGAAAATGGGCTTGGCGGGGATGGAGCAGATTTAAATATAATAAAACTGTGGCTCGAGAGATGACTTCCCCTTTTTTAAGAGGATCGTAAACTTGGCCAGATTTGCTATACTGGGAAATTAAAAATGTTACAAACTGAAAATGTTTGAC